ATTTCTGAATATTTAACAGATTTTTAAATATTTCTTCGGCTCCACCCTGGCCGGGACTTTTGGGTCTGGGTCCGAGTGGCCGGAAATGACGACAGAACAGGTACCCTCGAACTGTCAAACGCCGAAACCATCAACAACGATCAGTCGAATGCCGATTTGACAACTTCACACGTGAAAACYACTATGTGCAACTCTTCGATTCTATAGTTTTTATATTTTATTCCATGGAAAATCAGTCCTCTGAATCCGATTTAGCTAGTTATGACTCCGATGATTCCGAGTTTAATTATATTCCTGGAATTTACGTGCCGCGGGTAAATTACGAGGAGGAAAACGAGAATTATGAGCGAGATTCAAATGCRGTTGAAGACGATGACAATCTTCCCTTCGTTGGTCCGTATGAAAACGAGCCGCTAGCTGACGAAGAATGGTTGAAAGAATATAAAAGAAAAAAGGAGATCGAGGATGCGCTACGTCAAAAACTTCAAGAAAGAATAGATGGCGTCGATCCTTGCAGCAACTGGTGAGTCGTCTTGTTGTCTTGTCGCGTACTTTCGAATAGATCTTTTACTGATTATGAATAACATAACACCAGTTTATTGAGATATATTGTTTATTTGTAAATACATAGGTGTTCCTGTGGAAACTGCAATATCGATATGCTACAAAACGTCTACGAGGCAAAATGTTGTAGGGAACTCGACGGTTGTGTTGAGGCATGCCACGCTGACAGTGTGTTAGAGGAGACACAAACTCCACCRAACTGCATAATTCTTCATCCTGGTTTTCGCCCAATTTGCCTGGAGAAATGGGCCCTCAAGCAGTCCGCTTCTAAATACAAAACCAGAGATAAGCGTCGATACAATCAAATTGGGAAGGAGTCGACGTAAGTAAAACAAAACTTTTTTCAATCACCTCCCTGCTTCAATTATAATCCATGCATTGAGCTTCTTCCACATAGGCTATCCGCATATTTTCTTTTGTTTATAGTAAGTAGTATCTTTATATTTTCGACTACAACATTATTGCTTCTGGGCAGTTAATTATGCCAATACTTTCTTATGTTTCTTCTTGTTTGATTTATGAACATTCCTTTTTTTTTTCTGTAAACTTCCAGGTTTCTTCGAGCAGTGGCCTACAGGGAATTCTGTCAACTTGTTTATAGATTTCTTGGAGCCCAAAGAATTCCCCTGCCAGCCTGTGCATATCATGCTATTAGGAGTACATTCAGTGACCAGGATGAAAGTTTTATTGGATTTGAATTTGAAGAGGATTGATAACTGATAGGATAGCAATTTCTTTATTTTACGTAATCATATGCTTTTGTTAATTTCATGTTGTTGTAACTTATAAACAAGTCCAATATGGAAAAGAATTATTATGGGAGAAAACATGAATACCATTTATTTTAAACTGACCCTATTTCCTGAAAAAAGTATATTATTAATGAATCTCGTACTGAGGTATAATTATCCTTTTCTGCTAAGTAAACAACTGTCAAAATAATCATTTTTTACAATATAATAATTTATTAAGAGGCTAAAGTAGCAAATATTGCATCTATCCATGTCGTTTTATTAATCTATCACAAATTATTG